TGAGTTATTATTGTTGACATCACCCTTGAGGTGAATGCGTTGGGAGGCGAAACTATAAGCCCATATCTTTCTATGTGTCCGGTTGAAACGTTTTGCTCATGTGTACGTGGTGAGTGTCAACAATCATAGAAGACTAAATGATGGTTGAGTATGTGGATTTGCTTAAAGGCTTCGATATGTGACCCTTCCTGAAAAGATGATGAATTGTAGTTGCAAAGTTGACTGAGAACATAGTTTGTTGGTTTCCAGTAAAGTTTATGCTTTATACTTCGATGTTGTGATGAATTGTCACTTGTTCATGGGAAGTCCATGATAAAAGTTGTATGTTAAAGTTTGTTCCTATTATAATAAGTTACATAATGCTGCTATGTCTGTATTTTTGTTTTTATCGACACCTCTCTCTCTAAGCATGTGGACGTGTTTTTCGATTTCGGTTTTCGCTTGAGGACAAGCGAGGTCTAAGCTTGGGGGAGTTGATACGTCCATTTTGCATCATGTTTTCCTACTGTTATGTTGTTTTATTGTATAATAATGCTTTTTAGAGTAATTCTAATGTATTTTCTCTCATAATATGCAAGGTATACACAAAGGGGAGAATTCTGGCAGCTGGAAATCTGGACATGAAAAAGCTACGTCAAGCTACCTATTCTGCACAACTCCAAATGAGTTGAAATTTCATGAGGATTTTTTATGGAATAAATAAGAATTTTTGGAGTCAATAAGTACCAGAGGGGGCCCACTAGGTGGGCACAACCCACCTAGGCGTGCCAGGGAGCCCAGGCGTGCCCTGGTGGGTTGTACTCACCCAGGCCCACCTCCGGTGCCCCTCTTCTGGTATATAAGTCATTTTAACCTAGAAAAAAATAAGGAGAGGACTTTTAGGACGAAGCGCCACCGTCTCGAGGCAGAACTTGGGGTAGGAGCACTTTTGCCCTTCGGCGGAGCAATTCCGCCGCGGGAACTTCCCTCCAAGAGGGGGAAATCATCGTCATCATCATCACCATCAACTCTCCCATCTTGGGGAGGGCTATGTTCATCAACATCTTCAACAATACCAACTCCTCTCAAACCCTAGTTCATCTCTTGTGTTCAATCTTTGTACCGGAACTATAGATAGGTGCTTGTGGGTGACTAGTAGTGTTGATTACATCTTGTAGTTGATTGCTATATGGTTTATTTGGTGGAAGATTATATGTTCAGATCCATTATGATATTTAATACCCCTCTGATCTTGAGCATGATTATCATTTGTGAGTAGTTACTTTTGTTCTTGAGGTCACGGTAGAAATCATGTTGCGAGTAATCATGTGAACTTGATATGTGTTCGATATTTTGATGATATGTATGTTGTGATTCCCTTAGTGGTGTCATGTGAACATCGACTACATGACACTTCACCATATTTGGGCCTAAGGGTATGCATTGTGGAGTATTTATTAGATGATGGGTTGCGAGAGTGACAGAAGCTTAAACCCCAGTTTATGCGCTATTCCGTAAGGGACCGATTGGATCCAAAAGTTTAATGCTATGGTTAGAATTTATTCTTAATACTTTTCTCGTAGTTGCGGATGCTTGCGAGGGGGTTAATCATAAGTAGGAGGTTTGTTCAAGTAAGAACAGCACCTAAGCACCGGTCCACCCACATATCAAATCATCAAAGTAGCGAACACGAATTAAGCCAACATGATGAAAGTGACTAGATGAAATTCCCGTGTACCCTCAAGAGCACTTTGCTTATCATAAGAGACCGTTTTGGCCTGTCCTTTGCCTCAAAAGGATTGGGCTACCTTGCTGCCCTTTTGTTACTACTATCGTTACTTGCTCGTTGCAAATTATCTTGCTATCAAACTACTCCACTACTTACAATTTTAGCACTTGCAGACATTACCTTGCTGAAAACCACTTGTCATTTCCTTCTGCTCCTCGTTGGGTTCGACACTCTTACTTATCGAAAAGGCTACAATTGACCCCATATACTTGGGATTCACCAGGGACCTGGCATCGGCGCTGCGAGCACCGTCCCTCATCTGCTGCCGTCCACCACGAGGGCCGGCCAATGCGGTGCTGGCCTTTCCTACTCCGCCACCGATTTCGGGCCTTGTGCTCCTGGGCTCGGCGCCGGCGTCGTCCATGGAGTCGTCGCTTCTTGGGACCCCATTGGGCAGGGGGGTTTTCTTGACCCCCATCCAAGGGTTTTCTCCTGTCGGCGCGCCGTCCTCCTCGACCTCCGGCGTGGCCATGAGCACGGGGCCGATGCCGCAGCCCGTCGCTAGGGCCGACTCCTCCTCTGCTCCACCAGCTCTCTCCTTCCTGCCAGGGTTTTCACCCCGACCTCGGTTCGCTGCGGCTACGCAAACTCCAGTGAGTCAAACCCCCTAATGCTTGCTCGTAGATGTAGATTAGGGGTTTATTTCTTAGGCATGTGCTAGTAGTTAGTGGATTAGATAGGATTCGAGTAGATCCGATTGGATGCGATCCCAATCGAATCCAATCCGACCGATCTGTTCTTGTGTGCTACAGTGTGTGTCCTAGGATAATGTTCTTTCCTAGGAACTGTGTTCATGCTAGTATATGTGTTCATGCTAGAATCCCCAATGCTAGTGTGCTTTGCTAGGATCTGTGTTCATGGTAGGGTCTTGCTAGGATCTGTGTTCATGTTCATATTCATGTTCAAGTTAGGATCATGTTCATATTGTTGTTCATGTTGCATGCTCTAGATTGTTATACATGTTGAAGCTAGGGTTTGTGTTGCATGCTCTAGATTGTTATACATGCATGTAGTAGGACCATTTTAGGATGCTGCCAAATGTGCATGGGTGCACATGGGTGCTATTGATGAGTGGCACTTGTTGTTACTCTTTTTAGATGTTTCCATGCTTAGGATAGTGCAGTGATGAGTGACAGTTGCAGAAAACCAGATGCCACTGATCAGTGGCACTTGCTATTGGGCAAGTACCCTGATCAGTGGCACTTGCTATTGGCAAGTACCCTGATCAGTGGCACTAATCAGTGGCATTTGCCCAAGGGCAAGTGCCATTGATAAGTGGCATTTGGCAAAGAGTTTGTGCACTGATTAGTGGCATTTGCTCTTGGGAAAATATCTCTGATCAGTTTCATTTGCTATAGTCCTAGTGCAACTGATCGGTGGCATTTGATAAGTGGCATTTGGCAGAGAACTAATACTTGTCATCTTACCTGATAAGATATTGAAGAGTGACTGGGATGTGGTGGGTGGAGGAGCTCAGGTGGTGGCCGGAGCTGAGCGCGCCGAGGATTTCATCCCCACGAACAGGTGGCTCAGGGCGGTGGACCTGCCTGGCAGGATCGCCTTCATGAGCCTGCCTTGTTCAAGGGGACGATCTCCGAGGCAGGGCCATGAGGAGGGGGCCCGGGAGCCGTTGCGCTTCTACCAGCAGATCAAGGACAATGAGGATCTCGCCATGCTCGTCGTCCCTCGCAAGTTCGTGGAGGTGATGAACACCTGGCTGGTCACCAAGCAGCTCCCGCGCGTGGTCAGGCTGTCGGCAAACAAGTGGTGCGTGTTCTAGGTGCAGGTCCAAAACTTCGAGGGGCACATGGTGCTTGGCCAGGGCTGGAACTACTTCTGCCGCCGCCACCGAATCATCCCCGGTGACCCCGTCGTTGTGTGCATCTCATGACTCGGATTGGAGGTTCGGATCTACAACCATGACTCCTCGGTCATGTGCAGGTTTCGTTGCAGCAGGCACAACTGCGTTGGTGACATTGAGCATGTTATGTAGTTAAGTAAGGTGTTAGTGTTGAACTTTTATGGTGTGTGGCTAGACTTATGGTACTTGTGCTGGGAACTTGTTCATATTTTGGCCAGGAGCAGCACCCTGACGTGGAGCAGGGAAAGAGAATGCCCATGCTGTTAATCTTAAGTAGTTTACTGTCATTTCCTTGCTTGCTTTGTTGGATTTCATTTGGTTGCTTGCTTTGTTTGATCTCATATGTGCTTGCTGTTGTGTTGATCATGTGGTGGTAAGGCCACCACATTTGAATGGGGTGAGCAAAACACAAACAAACGCTGTTTGCAACCAAACAGCTGAAATTTGCATCTGCTCACACCCTAAACACAAAAACGACAACCAAGCAGCAGGAGGGTAAATGCCCCTCCATGCGATGCAGGCAACCAAACATGTTGCATCTGCTGCATATGAGGCTACATTTCAAGAACTAGGCTGGCTGGAGATGGACATGCAATGCAGCTACTGTTGCAAACTGGAACCAAACACGCCCATAATGTTGGTCTGCACTACTTCCGTCTACTTCCGTTGGAAGTTTATATGGGTTCGTGTTCTGGTTCAAGTTTGACGATCAATTCGACCAATAAAACATGAGTTATGTACCACAAAAATGCCTAATGGAAACATTTTTATAACACATGACATTCATAGTTCGGTCAAAATGGTCAATTAAAAATCATGAAATACGAAAATGGCATGTAATTTGTGATGGCTGGAGTACCACTCAAAATAAAATAAAATTCAAAAATAAGACGGGACATGACGAAGGGGGTTGCTGTTATTCTTTTCACCACCTTCAACATGAGCAAAGCAGCAATGCAGGAAGCACGACTAGGCATCAGTCCTCATTTTTGGCAGATGATAATATTTCACCTCATGCAATCGAAGCTTGCAAGAGCTCGACCCAAACCAAAAGAGTAGCAACCGCATCAAATGGTCACGAAAGAGCAATCTGCCTTCAGAAGGCTTGACACCCTGTTGCAATTTTCTAGAGTTCAAATTATATATTCCCTTCTATGATGTGATCAATTGCCTTCTACAACGGTTATGATTTTCTGAAGAATGGTGCAACATAAGCAGCGCTGGTACAATGGTGTGGCATTTGCCAACAAAGCTATAGCAACACTCAAATCCGCCACGAAAACACCAGTCACCACAAGTTTCAGTGCTAAGGTAGGAACTTTGTCGCAAGTACTGACGGAGATGAACTCTGACAAGGATCAAAAACCCAAATCATGGATGCGGATAGCCAGGGGGGTCCCATGGTCCACCACCGTAGTGTTTCTCTCTGTAAGAATAGCCGCTGTCGTAGATGTCTTGCAAGCCCATCCCAGGAGTTGTCATAGGTGGTCTGTAAGCTCCATGGCCGCTGAAACCTAAAATTATAAGTATGATATAGGTTAATCACAACAGATTTCGATGACTTGGATGCAAGTGAGGAAACAAAACCTACTAGGTGGCCTTCTCTTCTCAATCTCAGCCCTAAGCTTCTCAGACTCCTGAGCCATAGTTACAAGATCCTTCTCCACTGCCTGCACCTGTGCCATCAGCTCTGCCTTTGCATTCTTTTCATAATCAAGAGCGGCCCTGCAGTGATATTAATAATTAGCT